AAGGGCTCTCTAGAGTCCTGGGCCCGTGGCCCATTGCCCGTCATGCCACCCTATCGTTACGCCACTGATTATGACGATGTAATTGATGAGTTTAAACATTTACATCCTTTTGACAGAAGATTATAGAATTATAATAGTATTAATTAAATTAGATTCATGTTGATCTATTAGTTATAAAACGCAAAGTTTAAATTATATTTTTACTAATATATATTGACTATTATTATTTTCCTATTATACTATTATTTTGAGAACTTTGTAGTTATGTAATACATTTAAAAAAAAATTCTGATTGATGTTTTTTTTTTGAAGGGAGATAATGAAAATTGAGTTATTTTTAAATATATTGGCATCCCCTGCTAAAAAAGTCTGCACACGCCTATGTTATATGTAATTTGGTTCATATGTAAGAGAATTGGCGCTGTTATTAACGAAAAAAAATTAATCCCTTATTTCTACCAAAAACGTGGCTGAAGCCATTTTAAATTATAAGCAAAGAATTAATAATAGGTATATGTGAATCGCAGAACAATCACTTCACACACTTAGTGTGAGCGAAAAATAATCACGTTGTACTAATAACACTAATTTACCTATAAGACAATGGATGAAATAGCGTTTGAGATTTGGGGGCTGAAGTCTAACGAACTAATATATAATAAATTAATATATCGTATTATTATTAATAATACTAAATACTGCTAGTACCCAACTGGGAATTACAGTAGTATCGGCGCCTGGTGCAGGTGCGTAGTGCGTACTTTCAATCACGACTGATTGCAACAACTGTGCCACGCAGCACCACTTTAATATAGTTTATTTATTTTCCAGGTTCTGTCATAGTTCTGTCCAACTAGTACATAATAAAATTATTGTTATTTACCTGTTACCTACATGTTTGATATTTACATACGACATACCTATCAATTAATATTACTATTACTATTATTATGTTTATTATTAATATAGGCTATTGGATATAGGTGGATAACCAGAAAATTATTTCATTAAAAGTTTCGACGATTTTTTTCGTGTTTCTGGTGGCAGGGAAGTTGAGTATACTTTTTTATAACTTATAGGTATACCTACCAGTAAAATTTTGAGGCATAAATTGTATAGGCAGATCTAAGCACTGCAGGTTATTAGATAAATGGGTATAGTATAGTGGTGCCTCGTATATAATTACCTATTAATTATTATAGTTGCAGAACGCCGAAACTACTTAAATATATTTATTATATCACTTTAATACTCGTATCAATATACGAGTATACTAGCCACTGCCCACTAGGTCAGAGTTATATAGGTAGGTATACCTATCTAGTTAGTAGATTTTTTTTTTGTTATTACATGACAAATGACACGAATCGTAATCTMTACAATTTCACAATAAAGAAAAAAACATTATCGCTTTGAATCTACGTTGTATTCTTCGCTATAAAAAGTCACTTTATAGGTAGGAAATATCTATATAGAGACCATATTATATAACAATAATACGTTGTACGTACTACGTGAGTATTATCCAAATTTCACTCATAATAATATAGGTAATATAATATTTTATTGCCATTCGTATAAACGCAGATAGGTGTCAATATTTAAATAGCTAATTCGTAATCGAGAAGGTCTCTAGTTGTTCTATGTAAAATATGTGTTAAATTTGAATTTGTTGATTTTATTGTATTCAATGAAAAACGATTCTGAGCAGCGATTGGAGACCATCACGGTTTGTCAGTTAATATTTTTAACTTCCTATTATAGTCAGGGTTGGACAAGATACTCAAAAAGGAGTATTGAGATACTAGATACAAGATACTTTGCTTTGGAGTATCGCGATACAAGATACTAGATACTTGGCTTTGGAGTATCTTGATACTAGATACTCGATACTTGGCTTTGGAATATCGCGATACAGGATACTCGATACTCGATAGTCGATACATTTTAATAAAATTAGTCACTGGATTTTTAAAAATTATGGGGACTTACTTCATTAAGTAACTAGAATGACAAATAAAATAATTAAAACTGACACTTATTCAGTAATAATAATACATAAGTAGTAAAACAAATCAATCGTATTCATTACCTATATACTTTATCGTGAAAGGTACACTATAACCATTGATTATAGAATAGACTATAATCTTAATAATATAATAATATTCTATAATCAATGCTATAACGTAGTAACTATTAGGTACACCATTATACAAAATTATGGATACCTAATAAGTTATAAAGTACAGACGTAAAGTCCTATATTCAATGTCCGTGTGTCACAGATACATACAATATCATTGGCGCAAATAGGTGGGGGCTTGGGGGGACTAAGTCCCCCCAGTTCAAAAGTCATTAATTAGTACTGAGAATATATAATTTTTAGAAAATATTATAGGAGGGGCTTTAGCCCCCCCCCAAATAATTTGTCAATTTGCGCCTGTGTACAATATACATCATACATATAACTATATTTTATGATTTATCGATACTGGGTTGAAAAATTATTTCTAACAACCTACAATATTAAATAAAAAATATTAATTTCTGGATCATTAATTATTATAATTATAATTATTTCTTATTAATTATAATTTTGATAATAAAACCAGAATTGTAGTGTATCTCGTAGGTATCGCATCATAAATTATTTTATGAAATACTAGATACATTGACTAAAAATGTATCGCGATCTTGATACTCAATACTTCATATAATTTTATTGAGATACAAGATACAAGATACAATTGGATCTAAGATACGTATCTACGATACTTGTATCGAAGATACTGCCCAACCCTGATTATAGTTAATACTTTGCTCCCAGCTCCGTATTACCTACCAATGGAAAAAAATTAGGTACTATAACAGTATTAAAGTAATAAAATAATTACTAATTTGAAATGGAAGGTTAAATTAATTGTATTACCAAAAACAAATTGCTGCATATATTAAATAGGTAGTAATTTGTTATTAATTATTATATATTATTTCATATTCCTAGATAATATAATTACCAACTGTTATCAATTTATATGTCAACACTCAACACCGATGACGTATACCTTTAAAGGTATATACTATATAGGTATAGATTATAGAACGATATGATTATGTTCGTGGTATTGGTATAAATAGCTTAAATTGAATCTTAATGGGTATTCTGAAAATTTAAGCATAATTATAAGTATAATAGAAGCCAGAAGCTAACTTAAGACAGTCCTTTCTGACCTTTCTCTAAGATAGCGAATCTAAATAGGAAAAAATGTAGATGACTATGCGGAGTTCTAATCAAAAAATAGAAAAAAAATTTGGGAAAAAATTTGGTAAAAAATGGTGATAATTCTGCTAAATATCGTATAATTTTATACTTTACTATACCTCTTAGATATTATATT